ACAGAGATGTCACCTCAACAATGGAATAAACTGGTCATCCACCCTCTTTGTGTTTATGTTTCTGAAGTTTACCAAGTACTACGTTCTCCTGGACCTTAGGAATCACGCAAAACCCATTGATACTTAAGCTGCTGCCAGATCAGTCAAACATATTTCTGTCTGAGGTTCGTCTGATGTTAAATAAATCTCGAAAGATCAAAGCCTGTTTTGCTGTACAGGTGCAGTAGGAGCATTTCAAAATCACCATGGAGACCAAACTAAAGCCTGAACAACTAAATGGCCTGGGTGTCATGAACTACATACAGCAACAAGCACGTTTTGAAGATTTAAACTATGCTTTTAAGATATTTCTCATAGCCACCCTGCCATCTTTTCATTTCTCCAAAACATGAAGAGTATTTCATTTGCATGTTTATGCCAAGCCAAAGAAAACAAGAGGAAATCAACTCGTGGCGTAACGAGCAGTCATCTCTCTGAGGTGAAGTGCTTCTATTCTCTTTTAGTCTTCAGAAGCTAGAGCTGAAAACAAACAACATCTAAATTACAAAAAAATGCTTTTTTTTTTTTGCTTTGTCACAGACAAGTCATCAGAATAGTAGACGGATCAGGATTTTCTCAGAAATTCAGAATAGTGACAGACAGCTGACTCATTTCTCAAATTGATCTGGTTTCTGCTCCTTTAAACCTTCCTGTAAAAAGAAGAAGAGGAATGCAAGCCATTGCTATCCTTACAAAAGTCAGTATTTCTGGCATGCAGTTTGAGCATGAGAATGAAAACAGGAGGTAATGATCTCATTAAGAACAGGAGAAAAGTTACAAACAAGAGGATAGCATCCAGTTCATCTAGCCCATTTGATAGGTTGAGACTCCAATGATTTCATCCTGCTTTTTTTTTTAAATTAAGCCAAGGTGACAGCTTCAACACCTTGGCTGGGTAGTTAGTTCCACACTCCCACCACCCTATGGGTAAAGAGGTTCTTCCTATTCCCAGTTTTAAATACATGTCCACATGGCTTCCACTCATGTCCTCTGGTTCGTGTTTCACAGTTCGTTCTGACTTATTCATAATCCTGACAAAGTGAGCCCAGAGGGAAATTTGTACAGTATCGGGGGTATCAAGAATACAAATCTACAATCACAAAAGAAGGGGCCGATAAGGAATGTGACTCACCTGACAAGCCAACGGTACAGTCCCACATCAAAGTGCCTGAAAAAGAAATGCCAAAATTGTGGATGATGATTCAATCATTCATGCAACACATAACAGAGATTCTTTAAAAAAAAAAAAATCAAAAATGTTATCTGAATTTTGCATTTCATAATTTGCTTTACCCATTAGTGGTGAACACTGAAAAATGCTGCTCAAAATTTATTGAAAAACCCATTAGGTTTTACTGGGACAAATATCACCAAGGTTTCCATGAAAATAACTTGATTTCTGTGAATGTTTTGCTTTTAAATAATAATAAAAAAAAGAATTCCCCATTCAATTTCTCTTTTGCTCCTTACTTTAGAATTGCTGGTCAGCAATCTGTTTTGTAATGCTAATGCGACCACTCTGAATGGTTATTTCCAGTCCTGAAGACATGCCTGAACTCCAGCTTGGTAGTAACTGCTGCCTAAAAACAAACTTTCTCTGCCAAGAT